TTGAAAAATTTTAATTGTCAGTGGAATCCCAGTATACTTGTGTAGAACATCTAGTGTGTAAACTATAAATCAAATTCTAAACTCTATAACATGTCCATTTTACACACTAGCTGCCTAAAGAAATTGGGACAAGTTATTGGCTAAGAACTAAATAACTGCGTAATTGCGGGTCGGGTCATAGGTGTAGCACAAAATGCCTCAAGCGAAGTTAATCCTAACTTGAAGGTGAGCATAAGACAATTCAATGCATTATAGGTGTGGCCAAAGTACCCCCCAAATTTAATTATGAATTTTATTGTGCTTGTGCCTTGCCGATCTTTTAAATAGAGTTGTAAATTATGATAAAAATTTAATATTTTCAGAGTCATGCAAAACCAAAGATCTTTAATTTTTAATCATTTTCTCACAGTGCCTAATTGAAGAGCCAAGAGAATCAGGAAACTAAATTCATTCTAAAATACAACCATATATTTAAATAAGGCATTTATAAGGGCATAACATAAGGATCAATAGGAATTATGGGCTTCGAAGAGCCATATCCAAAGATCAGGTTATTCTCAAGTTAAGCCCACCTACCTACGTGGGCGAGCTAAGCCTACTTACTCAATTGGTAGAGCTAAGCCCCCTTTTAAAGTAATTGAACTGGTCTGGGACAAATGAGACACTAAAAAAAATTATTACTACATCAGGGTAAATGCATCCATCCATACCTATGCCACATCATAACACCGGTGTCACGATCTTTTCATCAAGATAACTTGGACAGACATATAAATATATTGAATGTAATTTAATATTTCAATTCTTTCATATGTAAATTAGGGATTAGAGAGGATATTTTTCTTTCTCAAAAATAAATTGCTTTTCCTTCTATCTCTCTAAAAACTAGACTCTCTTTATATCCCTCATTGAAAGAAAGTAGAGACCCTTCCTTTAGGCTAGTCTCAAATGCCCAAGAATCCTGAGAAAATATAAAGTAAGAAACAAGAGCTTTAGCTACGCATTCATCATCTTTTTCCATATCTTCCTTTTGAAAATAAAGCCTTTACTTAGTTGTACGAACTCATGAACAAGACAGGACCCTATTTCTTATTAGAATTAACAATCATACATCAATCAAATAAACTCTTGAAGTATCTCTTAAAATGGGCTTCAACCACTTCTAGTGCCTTACAGAGATATTAAGTATTCAAATATGATTGGATCTCATTTCGGAAAGTGATTTTAAGTGTTTTCTTGTAATTATTCAACATAGAGTTGTCATTTTACTTCAACAAGGAGAGAAGTGAAGTTTTATTTGAAGGGCTAAAAACAAATCTTTATTTTTTATTTTTAATAATTATCTATTAATATGTATTAAAAATAAATTGTTAGAATATTTTATTTACTTATAAAAACTATTGTGTAATTGAAGTTGAGTTGCTAAAGAACAATTACATTCGTCACAACAATATTAATGATGCATACATAGTAAAATAGAAAGAACTAGTGACAATTTTATTTACATAAGAAATTCTAATAAATAAATAATTTGTAAGGCTTAGCATATTGAAATTGATTCTATTATATAATATATGTTAGTTGAGAAGATTAGCCCTTCCTTGAACTAGGAAAAGTCATCAACGCATTGAAAATGAAGGTCTGTTTGTTATTATTAATAACATTTTGTGATAATAATGAAATAGTCAAGTATTAGTATAGGCTTCATCCAAAAGAAGAATATGACAACCAAAAGATGATTAAAAAAAAAAAAAAAAGACAACAACATGTAGACCACTTCCATGGCCATGTTAATAGTTTTCGTAGTAGTGAAGGCAATATAATATAAATATTCTAGAAGAGTTAATGATAGAAGGACTTGGGGGCCAATAAGGATGATCACATCAACTTTAAGTAAAGATAGCATAGCATAGAAGCTAAAAAGCACTAAAAAAGAACCCTAAAAACTCATGGAGGCCATTAAGAATAGCTAAGTTGGTCCTTTTGGAGGTGAACACAATATTACTTTCAGATGTTATTATAGCAATGTGGAAGATCTTAGATCCCATAAGGGATGATATTGTAATCCCTCCTAGATATAAAAATGATGGATAGAATATTGCAAACATGTCATGGAGGCCACTACAAAATAGTCAGATTAATCATTTTTTCCAAATATAAGAAAGGCACATATTAAAGAAGTTAAATGAAATAACATTAAGGTGCTATAAGAAATTAATAAGTATGACTAGAATACTTCTTCTACTATAAATAATGGTTGTGTAAACCACAACAAAGAAAAGTTATAAGAGATTTGTTAGTGGTCGGGTATGTCCTCCTATAAGAGGTTAAATGACAACATAAAAGCAACAAATAAAGCACTATAACAAGATTATAATGGCTATTGACGATAATAAGGTTTTTCCTCACCATATAGGCAAATATCATATGAAGTAGAAGGTAAGGTGGCATAAGAGCATCAAAATCACTAAGAAAACTCCAATCAATCCTCCATCAAATGGTGAAAAAATCATGATATAAAAGAAGTTGATTAAGCATGTGGGAGGACCATACGAGCTAGTAGGATTAGTTGAGTTATCCTTCCCTTCACAAAAATTGAGTTGCACAAAAGGACTATGTAGGATAATCAAAATGATGGATTGACCTCCTCCTAATGCTGAGAATGAAATCATTTGAAGACATCAGACGAAGCAATGGATGCTGATGTGATTGTTGGATGCATTCTCCACTTTGAAGTGAAGGTGATAAAGGCGATAGAAAAAGTTAAGATAATCTTGAAGGCTTTTCAGAATATTTGGGTCTATCTTTCTTTTATTGGTAGAGAAAATTTAACTTAAAAGGCAATGGGCGAGGAGATATAGTTAAGGGTAGTCTAGTCAATCATTTTTATAGATGTGTAAGCAAACTAGATCTTCAAATACAAAAAAAAAAAAAAAAAAAAAAAAATGTGAATTTAATGAGCAAGTCAAGCATTTAAAATTTTCCTACAATTTAAATTTTAAATTTTTTAATGTTTCTAGAATGAGCAAAATTAAAATATTTTTATATTATTTTAGAGCAAATTGTGAAATTTATTTTGAATATGATATAATGGTTATACTACTATAGATAAGAGATCTATTAGATTATGCTATCAGATGATCAAGAATAAATTAGAAGATCACATCCTAAAGTTGGCGAAATTACCTTGCTTGGGCTGGCATTAGTGGTTCTAACGTAGTCTCCAATTACTCATAACTAATCCAAGTCTAAATGTAATATTGAAGTATCACAACTCACTAATCCAAGTCTAAATGTAATATTGAAGTATCACATTAAACTTAATAAAAAATAACACTTGTAGAGGTTAATTACAAAAATTTTAACTCTCTTTTATTAAAACACATGACCAACCATAAAAGTATGAAATAGATTATTTGATTAATTTTAATTCAGATAATCAATTTCCCCATTAAAATTAAACAACATTTCCTCTATATTAAAATTTGTATTTAAAAAATCTTAAATTAAAAATTTTAAATTTGCAAATATACCAAAAAATTGAAAAAAAACACCACAAACTTTGACTACAATCATAAAACACAAAATAAAAAATTCTAACTAAACATCTTCAATTTGCTCCTTGTCATCAATCCTTGCTTGGAAGCAACTTCTTTTCTCTACGCTCTTGGGATTAATAAAATCATTCTCCTTTAACTTCTTGTTCAACATTTATCATAAAAAAAAAATATAGATATGCTTTTAAAATATTAATGTAATTTAACCCTTTTTATAAGAATTTCTCAAAAAAGATTCACATTAGGAAATCATGAAACAAAAATAAAGTCAATATCAACCCAATTATGCATCAAGTATAATATATCAATATGATTAGAGTTGGTAGGCGCCCTCAAGGTAATATGGCTATCTAGCTAATACCGTTGGCACTAAGCACCACCATATACACTCATTTGAGCCAAGGCACTACAAAACTATAATACAATAATCACCTTTGGAGATAATAATATGACAATTGTCATACCTTATACCATAGCAACATAATTTTGACAAATAGAATAGAGTACCCATAAAGCTAAAAAAATACATTTCAAGTTTAAACAAGCAAATAAATTCCCAAGTTGATAGATTACAATAAATAAGATTAAAATAAATTTCCTTCAAGAATAAATTTGATATCTAATAAAGTTTAAGTTAAGAAATGACCGCGTACTTCATTTCAATCTCGCACTCTTAACTTATGTTCAATTACAAGTTTGAGATAATTAACATGATAAATTTTACATGCAGATTCAAATTCAACAAAATGATTTATAAATTTATATTACAACTGCAAATTATTTTTCATATCTAATACATCCTCAAAAGTATATCATGAATTGAAGTCTTATCAAGAAGATCAAATACAACCAAAATTTGTTACCGTCGGCAGCTTCTTCATTGTGTTAAAAGGGCATTTACATACATACCACACAATGCTTATATATTTACATTACATCTAAGCATTGATATCTATATACACATAAATAATACCGCTATTATTAACTTTTTAGAAGTGAAATACACCTGGTCATGCAAAGCTTTATAACAGCAGTGTTATAAATGCAAATATCAAAATTTAGGTGTTAAATATATAAATTCATAATGCTTGTGAGGCATGAGTGTAAATTTCTCCTTTTTTTTTCACAATTTATCAGAAGCGGGTTAGCTAGCTCTTTTGAAATTTCACTCCCACTTGTGTAAGTTGGTCTAAGCCTGCAGCCCCAAGGATTAAGAGTATGAAGCAGGCAAAGAAATCATCTTGCAAATCCATGGAACCCTTGTGAAAATCAAGCCTGGGAAATAAACAAATCATGCACAAGGTTTCTGTTTGTTAAAGAATTCATGTCAGCTGCAAATAACTTAGGTTTTGGGTGTTTCTGAAAACAATGATGTTTTGTTTTAGCTGGCCAAATAATATTATGTTTCAAATTAAAAAATAAACAAAACAAAATATATATTTAAAAAAAAATTAATTTCAAACTGCCCCTTAGCTATTGAATTACAGACATAAAAACAGATCTAATTTTTCATTTCCATTTTACAAATTTATCAAAATAATTAGAATCATAACATATTTTGCATAAAAGATGGCACCTGCCTTTGAAATTAATGGATTAAAAAAAAAAATAGTTTAAATCAAGCAACCTTCTTCTTTGACTTGAGCATGACACAACCAATGAACACAGATAAGAAGGAAAGAAGAGTGACGCCAGCAAACAATGGTATTATGATAGCATACTCGCGAGGCAAGAAATACATATGGATAAAGTTATCGTCCTCCACAAAAGGCTGCAATGAAGAAATTCAATAAAGTAGAAGTGCTCCAGTGATAAATATCAAGCCTAAAAGTAATGCAGGGAAAGCAGTAAAACTTACCAAAATGATGATCCAAAAGGTGTAGTAAGAGAATAGAGACAAACTGACGACAGTTAGCAACAATCCGACAGCCTTATCAGCCAACTCCATGGTGATAATTCGAGTCTTCCGTCTTAAAGTTAAATACAACAAAAGTTAATTAAAGAAATCAAATCAAAACTATTATATACTATTCAAAATAATATCTTTAAGTGATAAATTCAAATCATAACTAAAAATAAATGATTCCACAAGCACCCAAATTTTCCAAGAAAAATCTACAGCATATAACATTATGCCCAGGCTTTTATTGTCAGTAATCTATAGAAGAGAGAAATCCTCAGAGATTTGAACAGCAAAAACAGTAAAAGGTGGACTCTTTCACAGAGAGATTGAGGAAAGAGTAATCTATAGAAGAGAGAAATCCTCAGAGATTTCAACAGAAAAAAGAGTAAAAGGTGGACCCTTTCGCAGAGGGATTGAGGGAAGAATTGGAGACACATCATCTACAGCATCGATATATTAGGGTTGCCAAACCATGAGGAAGATGAAGGCCACTTCCACCTTAACAAAAGCTCCAAACAATTATAACTATTTCGATATCCCATTTGATATACATGCAACTAAATCCATAATAACTATGTTATAGATGGATAATTATGTTGAGCACGCTGAGAAATTGAAAAAGAAATACTTTTAGATTAAGCTAAGTAGGTATGAAAACAAAGTCAATGAATCCAATTGGTTCTGAGTACATGAAAAAATCAAAGATGTAATTGTATAAATGAAAGCATAAATTTATAAGCCATAAACTTAATCAATCGTGTACATTATAGCTTTCAACTATTACTAATCATAACACAGGGCGGATTAAAAAATAACAATGTATTGAAAAGTACTAATAGTCAAATTTTAAAATGACATGAACATAAAGTGATCTGATTTTATAATAATATGAGGGGCAGATCATGTGTAAATAGAGGAGTTATACTAAGAACCTATTCATTACCTTGTAGATGAAAATTTTTAGAAAATGATGAAGTTCATCATAGACTTATTTCAATGTCAGTGGAAAATAAATAAAAGAATGAAGATAATTGACTGTTCGTTAATTTAAGTTCATGTGTAGTTTTGGAAAGATAATATTTATTGCATGGCATACATAGTGAGATTATTACTTTAATACATGTAATAGAGGAGAGTAGGAGTAGCTCTTGAGTAATTCATGAAACAAAGATCAACAATAAATTATATGAAGCAAGAAACACTTCAGTGAAGGCAAATTTTAAGTAAAGAATTATTTTTATAGGCTGGCCATATACTGTATTTTTTACATAGAAAATGTAAATTGAAGAAGATTGACCCTAAAACCTACATCAATTCAATAAGGAGCCAAGGCTGGCCAACAAAAAATCAACAATTATTTGTGTTTTTTCAGAAGTTCTTACGAAAGTTCTATCCACTAATTCTTTTACATCCATTCTCAAATAAAAAATGAAGGAATCTAGCCATCTGCCGTAAACAATTTTGAAGAAATTGAGCATAACTTAAATTCAGCCAAATTAGGAATCTATGACCTGGCCTTGTGTTTACTCCACTTCCACAACCGTAACCGTTCATGAAATTTCAAAAAACTCTAGATCACATTTACAAAGATCCCAGGACCATTTTCAAGTATTTCTTACAAGAATAAATTTTTTTTATATTAGCAAACCGTCAAATTTTAAATGCGCCTCATACAATCTCAGGTTCAAGGAGTATCACATGCTTGGACGGCCCTAACCTCTTCACGACTACTACTACACCCTACCACCTTCACCGCTAAGGTTCCTAACATAAAAGCCTCTTTTTACAGCATGCTTAAGCCTCGGAACATATAAATCCAAGGGTATGTCAATAAGTGGTGATATTTCATTTCCAATTTTCCAAAGCAAAAATGAAAATAGTTTACTTCTGAAAGCTTAAAACCTATATCAATTTTAAATTACATCTAGTCAAAACATGGATTCAAGAAAATTAATTTTTTTTTAATTATGTTTTCTTTGTGTAAATGTTACGGCGTCCCCTGAAAGCGACGCGCTGTATGACCTGAATACAGTAAAACGTGTGTAAGGGTCGCTACACCGGCACCCGGGTGTAGGGACAAATAAGCAAGAGTACCCGTATTACGGACGGATGCGGGTAAAGAAGCTAGTCCACAAAACTAATATTTCGATAGAATCTTGGAATAAACGTACTCTCACTGGTAAATTAATGAAATTAGTTGATATTATGATTCATAGAAAGATAAATATTTTATGTATTCAAGAAACTAAATGAGTTGGACAAAAGACTAAGAAGATTGATAACTTAGGTTTTAAATTTTGATATTCATGTAAGAGTTGCACTAGAAATTGTGTAAGTGTAGTTATAGATAAGAGTTTAAAAGATAATGTTATAACAAATAACAGAATTTCAGATAGAATTATAGCCATTAAGATTATTATTGATACTACGATTTTTAATATTATAAGTACTTATGCTCCAAAAGTAGGTTTAGATATAGATTTTAAAGATAAATTCTAGAATGACTTAGAAAATTTAATAAAATAATACCTCTTGAAGAAAAAAACTTTATTGGAGGAGATTTAAATGGACATGTCGATAGAGTGATAGAAGGTTTTAGAAATATTCATGCTGGCTACGGTTTTGGAGTGATTAATGAAGAAAGTAAAGTCATATTAGATTGCTTTAGCATATGATTTTGTTATTGTTAATACTTCATTCAAGAAAAGAGATGAACATATCATTACTTCTACGAATAAATTTAATGAAAACATTGATTATTTTCTTATAAAAAGAAGAGATTGCCGAGAATGTATAAATTGTAAGGTCATTCCAAATAAAGATTTAAACACTCAACATTGATTATTAGTTTTTAAATTTTAAGATGAAGAGTTGTAAAATAAAGAATACTAGGAATCATCATCATATAATTAGATGGGGGTACCTAAAAAATAAATAAAATTATTTTTATGAGTAAAATTTAAGATTTAAGGATTTGGGATGTTCATGAAGAAGCAAACTCTATATGGAAAAAATAACAAATACTATTAAACAAGTGACAAAAGAGATATTTGAAGAATCAAAAGCAAAAGTTTTTATAAATAAAAATAGTTGGTAGTGAAATAATAATATACACGAAAAAATATGAAAAAATAAAATATAAAAAGTTATATTATAAAAATTGATTTGAGAATTGAAAAAAATATCAAATGACCCGTAAAAAGTCTAGGAGAACAATATGTGACACTAAAAATTCTAATTTTAATTATCTTTATAATAAATTAGATGCTAAAGAAGGTAAAAAATATATGTATAAACCAGCCAAATAAAGGCAAAATAAATGTAAGGATTAAACTCAAGTGTATTAAAGATGAAAATCAAAAATTATTTTCTTAGAAAAAGATATTCAACATAAGTGAGTGAATTATTTTGCTAAATTTTAAATGAAGTTTTTGAAAATACGATAGACCTTAGTGATCCTAATATCATTAATAATAATAAAATATTTCATTTTTACCAACGCATTAGTAAAAAAGAAGTTGATGAGGCTTTAAAGAAAACAAAGGGTGGAAAGTCTGTAGGATCTGAATGATATCCCAATTGAAATGAGGAAATACATAGGAGATTTGAGAGTTTCTTTGCTTGATAAACACTTTAATATTATTGTAAAAACTAAAAAGTTGCCTGAGGCATAAAAAAAGAGTATTTTGATCACATTTTTAAAGAATAAAGGGGATGCACGAAAGTGTGCAAATTATAGAGGAATTAAGATGATGCTTCATACTTTAAAATTATGGGAGAGGGTAAGTGAACATAGGTTAAGACGTATTACAAAGATTTCTCATAATCAATTTGGATTTATGTCGGGCAGTTCTACTATGGAAGCAATACATTAATTGAGAGGTTTGATGGAGAAGTTCAGACATAATAAAATGGATCTACATATGAATTTTATTGATTTAGAAAAAGCTTAAGAGAAGGTCCCACGAGATATTCTTTGCAGATTTCTTGAGAAAAAAGGTGTTGATATGACTTATATTCAAACCATTAAAAATATGTATACCAAAGCAGTGTTTGAACAGAAGAAGGATTGACAAATATTTTTCTATTTTTGTTGGATTACATCAGGGATCGGGCTTAAGCCCATACCTTTTTACTTTAGTTATGGATACTCTTACTGGACATTTACATGAGGATGTACCTTGGTGTATGTTTATTGTTGATGATATCCTTCTCATGGATAAGATAAGAGAAAGCTCAGAAGAAACTTGAATTATGGAGGTCTATATTGGAGCCTAAAGGTCTTCGTTTGATCTTCGTTTGAGTAGAACTATCGTTTGAGTAGAACTAAAACTGAATACATGGAATGTAATTTTAGTATTAGTAGTTTTAGTGGCGGAATTGTAACTATGGGTGATCAAATTATTAAAAGGTGTAAACGCTTTAGATATCTCGGGTCTATTGTTCAAGGTGATGATCATATAGATGGGGATGTTATTAGTAGAATTCAAGTTGGTTGGTTGAAGTGGAGGAACGCTTTGGGCCTATTGTGTGATAGAAAAGTATCGCTTACACTAAAGTGAAAATTTTATAAGATGGTGGTGAGACCTGTAATGCGCAATCGTGTTGAATGTTGGCCTTTAAAAGAGAAACATAAGACTAAGTTAAGTGTTGCTGAGATGAGAATAATTAGGTGGATGAGTGGCTTTTCAATTAAGAGACAAAATGCGAAATGATTATATCCGTGATAGGGTTGGTGTAGCTCCAATGACGGAAATAATTAGAGAGAGTTGTCTTAGATGGTTTGGCCACATTAAACATCGACCATTAGATGATCTGATTAGGAGACTAGATGTTTTAGATTCGACTTATGTCAAGAACGGCGGAGGCAGACCTAGAAAGATTTGGGCATATTGTATAAAATGATCTTTGATCTTAATTTATTTGATCTTAATTTATTAGAACTAAATTAAAATATGACACTCAATAGGACGCAATGGAGAAAAAGGATTCACGTAGCCGGCCGCACTTAGTGGGATAAACGTTTGTTGTTGGTATATGTTTTCAATCTACAAGCAAGAAAATGAGTCATAAGCCTATAACATGGATAAAGAGCGCTGTATACACTACACTTTCCAAAATTGCACTCAACCAGATAGTTTGGTGAATGTAACCCAAAGTTCAAATCATCATTCATTCAGTTAAACACAAGTATCTCGAATTTTAAATCACAAACCCTAGAATAGCAGTTCTCAAAAACAGGAAAACCTTTACCCTTCACTCATCCTCCTTCATTTCTTACCTACAATCTCTTCCAGTAACTTTGAAGCCCTCTACTTATCATGAATTAACGAAAGATTACTGGGTCACCAAATTTTAATATACAGAAGATTTAATTTTTTAGCGGCTTAAGAAAAAATCTTGAGATGACAGATATCAACTCAAAAATTGCTATAAAGATACCTAGAACATACATGAAGTTTCGAATTAATTAAATCAATTTATAAAAGGCAAAAACAGACGCACAAAGCTTTATACGTCGATCCAAATGAAGAAGAAAAAGTAAGCACGAAGCTAAGTAAGATTTAAATTCCAAGAAAATTTCTTACCTCGACTCGTCTGCAAGCTTCAAACCCTAGACTTCTGCCCTGAAAACCTCCACTCGTATAGGGATGATACGGAAACGAGAGAGCAGACAAGGGCGTGATGGTCAGATTTCGCTCAGACGTGGTTAAAACATGACAAGTGGAAATGTGGCCCATTGGTAAAAAAA